GGACGGGGGTGGTGTGAGGAACTGCATTGACTTGTTTGTTCATCAAAAGTATGAAATTAGGATAAAAGGGGGGGAAGTCGGGACATGGAATTTGCAGGCTTGACTGGTAACCACAGACAAAGATTGTGAAAGATTTTGCAGGACTGTCTGGAACTGATAACCGCAGTGGAAACCCATTGTTGCTGAAACTGATAACCGCAGTGGAAGGAGACTCACCACCCCCACTTGTGAAACCCATTGTTGCTGGAACTGATAACCACGGTGGAAGGAGACCCATCACCCCCACTTATGCAGGATAAAAAGGGACTGAAGAGAAGGAAAGGTTGTCAGCTTTTGGCGGAACACAGGCTCCGCAGCTGCACCCAGCGCTGTTTGCTTGCTATCACTTGCTGTAATTAATAAAATTATTAATTGATCTTAAAAGGCTGAATCAAATTATTTGCCTCAATTTATAACAGGTGGTGCCACCCCGGCCCGGTGTCCCTGTCCCACCCCGGCCCGGTGTCCCGGTCCCACCCCGGCCCGGTGTCCCGGTGCCACCCCGGCCCGGTGTCCCTGTCCCACCTCGTAGCCCTGTTCCCGCGCGTTGCGCCTGGCGCCCTCCAGCGTGCGGACGCGGTACTGCAGGATGGCGCGGGCAGCCTCGGGATACAGCAGCAGGATATTCGGGAACATCCAGGTGTCCTGCGAGGCCGCGCGGCGGGATTGGCTGGGGGAAAGCATCCAAATACTCCCGCCAGCTCCACCCTTCAAGTACACCCTCATCCCGATGGAAGGATGGAGTCTTGTCCATCCCTATTGAAGGACAGCCTGCTGCATCCCAGTGGAAGGATGGAGAAGGCTCCATCTTTCCTTCAGACTACTGAAGGATAGTCTGCTCCATCCCGATGGAAAGATGGAGTGTCCTCCATCCCACTTGCCATGCCAAGCCCCCGGATCAGCACAGCCGCCTTCACCTGGTCCCAGAAGACGTGTCCCCAGTAGTCCTCGCCGCGGGTGCCGTTGGACAAGCCGCCGGGGCTGATGCCGTGGAACGGGACTCCGGGGCAGTCCCGGGGCGGGAGGGCGCTCAGCAGGTAGTAGAGGCAGCCGTGGAGCGCCTGGCGCAGGGCCGGGGGCCCGTCCAGCTCCACGGAGCAGCCCCGGCGCAGCGCGGCCCAGGCGCGGATGTGGGAGCGGAGCAGGGACCCCGCGGCCAGCAGGGCCAGCCCCGCGCTGTAGCTGCGCTTCGCCTCCTCCTCGCTCCCGGCCACAGCCGTCAGGAACTGCCAGCACCGCTCCTGCTCCTCCCCGCCCAGCGTCAGCCACTGCGGGATGGGGGTCCACAGCATGTGGACAGTGGGACGGGGGCCCCCCTCCACCTCAGGAACCAGTGTCTGCCCGTAGATGTAGCTGTGGGAGATGGGGAAGTGACTGAGGAAAGTGTTTCTTCCCAATACCCCATCTAACCCTACCCTCTGGCAGTGGGAAGCCATCGCAAATGGTCTCTGGTCCCAGGAATCCTGTTCTAGAGGTCGTCTCCTACAAATCTCCTGTTTTCCCCAACCTCACTTCTTTGGAATCACATCTAGCCTCCGTCACATTCACTGCTCTCACACATCAGTGTGAGGCATAATACTGGAGTTGCAAGTAATAAAAATGTTTTCTATGCTTAATTTCAGGGGTCTTTTTATACACCTGCCAGGACAAAGTAGGTGTGCAGAAGCCTTTACACCCTTCACCATTCCAGCCTCACACCCCATGCCATTCCAGCACCCACCCTTCACCATTCCAGCCTCACACCCCTCACCATTCCAGCCCCACGCCCCTCACCATTCCAGCCTCACACCCCACACCATTCCAGCTCCACACCCCTCACCATTCCAGCCCCATGCCCCTCACCATTCCAGCCCCCACCCTTCACCATTCCAGCCCCACACCCCTCACCATTCCAGCCCCATGCCCCTCACCATTCCAGCCCCCACCCTTCACCATTCCAGCCCCTACCCTTCACCATTCCAGCCCCACACCCCTCACCATTCCAGCCCCATGCCCCTCACCATTCCAGCCCCATGCCCCTCACCATTCCAGCCCCATGCCCCTCACTATTCCAGCCCCACTCCAGCCTTACATCTGCAGTTTATTCCCCAGGGGAGAGCAGGGCACTGCGCCACAGCCCGCAGAGGGTGGGCTCAGGGCCGGGATCCCCATTCCCGACACTCACTGCGCTCCCTGGAAGTCTGGGCCTGGGGTCAAGTGCAGGTCCTGGCTCTGTTGCACGAACAGGCTCTGGAGCTGGACGGTGATGGGATGCGTGGAGCCATCCAAGCGCCGGATGGTGATGCTGAAGGCCATCAGGTGCACCAGGGAGTGGTGGGCGTAGAGCTGGTGAGTGGCCGTGTAGCCAGGGGACTGAATCGTATGGCTGAAGGTCCCTGCAAGCACAGCCAGAGCCACCAGCCTTTGGAAACACTTGGATTCTGCCCTATCTACTGCTTCCTGCTGGCCAAAGGGTTGCTTTTCCCGAGATCAGATCCAGTTGTGGACTGGAGAACACTGCTGACAGCGAGCCTGGCCGAGCTGCTGAGGGATGGTCTGTGCCATGAAACATTTTACCAGGCTCCATGATTAAAGAGTGTGAAGCCTGGCCCCTGCAGGGATAGAGCTACAGCCTGAAAATCACTTATTCCCACACAAAAGGGGGATTTTCCGCTCGTTCCAGAGGAGCAGCACCCCGAGGCGAACAGAGAATGAGGAGAAGGAAGATGTGAATGAGCAGAAAAAGCAGCAGAAGCAGAGAGAACCGAGCCGCTGGCAGAGCCCCCGGGCAGGTGCCGGCTCCTGCTCACCTGTCCAGGTGTTGAGGGTGAAGCTCTCGGCCGGGCTGCGGGCACCGGGCGCTGCCATGCGCAGCCCCAGCGGGCTGGGGAGGTCGGCGCGGTGCGTGTCCCCCGCGGCCCCGCTGTACACGCCGGCAGCATGCAGGATGTCCCGGAACACGCGGGTGCCCAGGAAGGCGTTGGTCACCGTGGGCAGCAGCCGCGGGTCCCCGGGCAAGGCCGTGGCCGTGAACACGCCGGGGTCGCCCTCGCCATCGGCCATCGCCACCGGCCCCACCTGCGGAGCTGCAGGGATGGGACGAGGGCTGAGGGGACAAAGTCAGCTCCCTGTCACCCCCTCCCCGCCTACCACCAGTGGTCTCTGCCCCTCTGGTCACCTCCAGCGGTTTTCCCCCATCCCAGCTTCCTCCCAGCCCCGGGGTGCATCCCCTCCACCCCTTCACCCCATCTCCAGCTGTCCCGAATCCTGACAGCTCACGGGCTTCATCACTTCTCATGCTCCTCCCTCTGCCTCTTCTGCTGCAGTTTCTCCCAATACACACAGCCACCTTCCCTGTCTGGCCTCCTCTTCCTCCCAGTGCTGTTCCGTGACACTTTGAAAAGTTCCTGATACTTCCCCCTCTCCCAGCTCACTGCACCCCTCTGTTCCCCCTCAATCCCACATCTCCAGCTCAGCCTCCTGGGGCAGGACCTTTCTATTCTGCTTTTTATACATAAAACTATATTTATGTGTCATGTACAAACATATCTATAATGACAGACTAAAGATATGTACAGCTAGAGACACGTGTAAACACCTCCTGACAAAAAGCAGCTGCAGCTGGCTCCTGGCAATGCCGGGCACAGGAAAAACACAGGAATGACGAAATGAGGCTCTGAGAGACTGTGAGCAGAGCTGGCAATCCAGCCGGGGTGACACAGGGGCAAAGAGGGTGCCCAGCCCCCAAATCCCTCCCTGGCAGCAGCCGGATGCAGGAACGCTCAAGCTCAGCTCGGTTTCCTCACTGAGACTGAGCTGTGAGGAAAATCCTGCCTTCGGGAAAGTGAGAAATTCCGAGCCAGCCCGAGCCCCAGGGAGTGGAAGGGAGGAGGTGGATCTTGCCTTCTGTCCCGAGGCCGGGCTGAACCTGAGCAGGCGGAGAGAGGCTGCTCCAGGGAAGGACGGAAGTTGCCCAACCGAGGAAGAAGGAAGGAAATAGCTTTTTTTCTTTCGTCTCCTTAAAAAGAAAAAGTTGGAAAAATGATCCTGGACATGCAGGTGTTTGCCCAGCTGAGCTGAGTGCCCGCGGCAGTCCCGGGGCTGCCTTGTGCCTGGGAAGGAGGAACTGAAAGAGGAAGACCAAGCTGGATGAGTTATGTTCCCAAAGCCGCTGGCAGAGAGCCGGGTTAGCAGCACACCCCACTGACCTCCTGTGCCCCCAGCCACGCTCTGATCCTTCCCCTCGCCTCTTTCCAGGGAGGACAAAAATTCCATCTGGACTTTGTCTCTGGCATGCCTTTCCAAGCCACTTCCAGCTGGTCCCGTCCTGGTGGGTCAGGGATCCAGGGCTGGAGCTGCAGCCAGGTGCCACTGGGCGCTCCGAGCCACCGGCCCCGGTGTTCACCGGGATTGTTTTATTGCCTGATCCAGCATTTACAGGATTGGCATAACGCATCTGTCCCACTCCGTTAATCCATGGAAAAGCCCCCATGGAGCCTGGCTGGGTCAGTCCTGCAGCTGCCAATGCCCCAGGACGCCTTGGGGACACCCTGACAAAGGGCAGAGACCGAGCAGTAACACTTGCTCCCGGCTCTACTCCTTTGGTATTCCAGGGTCTAATCCCACCTGGGCCCCAGCCGGATTCATTTCCCCTTTGGTTTGTTTCTCACAACCAGCTGCTGATTCCAGCACAGGCTGAGTCCATGACATGGGCAGGAATATCCATCCCCTGGAGAGCGGGCATCCATAGGGATTCTGGGGCACTGGAATCCCCCTCCAGCGACCACCAGCACACAGGGACAAGCAGTTCCTTCCCCAGCTGATCCCAGTGGCAGGCATCCCATTTCCTTCCTTTTATCAGAGGAATTTGGAAATAGCCCTTTCCAGAAAGTCCCTTCCCGCTGAATGGTGCTTTGAGTGTTATAAAGTTTATAAAAGCCCACAGAAGAGGAGGTCCAAGGAGAGAGGAGTTCTGCTCCAAAGGAAAAGTTTTGCTCTAAGGGAAAAGGCCCCACCCAAGAGGAGGTCTCTGCTCTCCAGCAGAACATCTCAGTGCCCCCCTGCATTGGCTGGAGACAGTTTTTAGTCTCAGACCCCTGGGCAGTGCTGAGGGGGAAAAAAAATCCCAAAACAATTAAGGAAAGAAAAATTAAGCAGAGAGCAATTTGAGAAAACCTGTCAGGCTGTTCCTCCCTGTGCCCCTGGAGCTGCGCCAAGGGGTGGCAGGAGGGTGGTGGCAGCAGTGACAGTGACAAGCTGGGCAGCTGCAGAGAGAGGAGCAGCAGGATCACCCTGAGAGCGCCATGAGGGGTTTCCAGAGGGGCTCCCAGCTCCTGGCAGCTGCACTCCGGATCAGCCGGGTCCCCCGGGCACAGCTCCGCTCCCACCCCCCTGAGCACATACTCTCCGGTGGTGTGAGTATCCTGGGGGGCTGAAAAAGTGGGAACAGCCCGGTTGGAGGGGCACAAACCCTCTGTGTGTCTGGGCCAAACTGTTTTGGAAGGGGGTGGAAGCAAAAGGGGAGGGGGAGGAAAAGAAGGAATGCGCCCTCAGGTTCCAGCCCACACCCCCATGGTGTCCATGTCCTGCTCCCCCCTCACCGGCTCCTGCTCCCGTTTGATTTTGTCCTTTCAGCCTTTTTTTAAACCTTTGAGGTTTGGGGGTCCCTGCAGCCCAGGGCAAGGGGCAGCAGTGACACTGGTGGTCCTTCAGGGCCACACCCAGACCCTGCCCCCCTATTCTGGGACAATCACCCCAAAGGGGTGTCCTCACAGGCAAGGACAGGGGCTGCTGTCACCACGGAGCCCAAGGTCTCTCTGACACTCCCCCTGCAGGGACAGTCCCCTGCAAACCAGACCCCCCCAGGCTGGGTAAAACAAGCTGGGAGAAAGAAGCTTTCCCCCAAAATCGTGCCTGATTCCCCCTCCACCCCTTTATCTGGGGTTCTCCCTCTGCTGCCTTTCCAAGGTCTTCAGCAGAGGAGCTGCAGGAGCCTGGGAGAGGCTTTTTCCAGGCAAATAAATTAAAGGAAGGTGCCAGTGTGGGAGGTTAACGCTGTTCTGGTTGTACTGGGGAAATGAGGGGCTGCTGCTGGCTGCAATTCCCATCCCAAAGTCACCTGAAAGTCAGGAACACTGCAGGCCCCAGCCACAGCCTCAAGGTCAAACACTGCTCCAGTGTCCCAGAGGAGCAACAAACCTGGAGAGCACCAGCTCCATCCACTGCCAGTGGGAACAGCTCTGCTCCCCAAATCTCCCTCCACAGCCCCAGGGCAGGTGCCAAGGACGGGAAGAGCACAGGGAAGTGAGCTGGCTGCGGTGTTGGACGGCAGCAGCGCAGCCATCCCGGGAGCCCTGTGTGCCATCCCGCTGATTCCTGCTCCTTGTCCCCCTCAGGAACAAGCCATCGCCCTCACCCTGATGTTCTCATCCTTCCTGGTGCCCACAGCCTGGGTCCTGAGCAACATCTACAACTACAGGAGCAGGCCCGAGTGAGGAGTGGCAGGAGCAGCCTGCTCCCTGCTGAGAGCATCCCAAGGGAAGGGCCCTCGGGCAGAGCCTCACCATGGAACCCCCCGAGCCTGCTCATTAAAATCCATTTTGCATTCAACAAGGCCTCACTGGGTTTGCTCCATCCTGTAGGGAACCAACCGGATCTGTGCCCGCTACCCTGATGGCAGCATTCCCTCAAGGGCTGCCAGCAGGTCCCAATGGGAAGGCACATTCCCTCTGGAGCCTCCACCAGCTGCAGTGCTGCGTGCACCCAGGCACCTCTCCCAGCACAAGCAAGGAAGCCATCCCAAGGTAAATTCCCAGCAGGAAAACACTCAAAGGCTGGGAGTGACATTAAAAGGGCGCCACGGATTGGGGGCTGCACAACTGCCCACTCCCTGCCCTGTAGGAAGGGCCTCTCCAGCCACCATATCCCAAATTACCTGTGCCAGGGAAGCAGCCAGCATGTTGAAGGTTTGGGTAGTGAGGGATACTTCCAGGTGTCTTGGGAAAGCCTGTCACAGTTCTGCAGATCTGACCCTCGTTCCCAGGAGCTGCTCAGAGCTTTCACAGCCAGGGGAGTGCTCCCACAGCACGGGAGCTGTGCTCCTGGGAGGAGCTGGTACTGCTTCCCACAGTGACATTCCAGATTTTGGATGCTGATCTCAAGCAGCAGCAGCCCCACAACTCAGTGACTCCAGTGGAGTTTCCTTTGTTCCCTAAAGCGTAGTGACAGCCCTGGGAATAAGGATGAGATCTGACATGGCACTGGGAAGGAGATTGTGCTCCTTTAAAGCTTCTCCTGTCCCTAGCTATGAAATAAAGGGAATATTTTCCTGATTCGAACACCTACTTCTTCCACACGCTTTCCTGAAGTCACTAAAGTGGCACCAGGAGTAAGCCTTGGAAGACAGGATGCAGCAGGAAATGGTCAAGTCAAATCAAGTGGCTGGGCAGGGAAGAGGCAGGCACTGGGCACTGAACAACCCCCATCCAGGAGGGAATTTCAGCCAAAGGGCCTGGAGAGCACCCAGAGGAGGGTGAGCTGAATACAGACTCCAACAATTCCATTTTGTCCTGTTTTCCAAAGTCTGCCTCCTTTGTGTGAGGCATCTCTGCACCAGTCTGGTATCAGCCACGTGCTCCCTTCTTTCTCTTGCTGGATTAACACCCTCAGTCAAGGCAGGAAAAGTACAAAAATTCCAGCAGTGCCATTTGCTAATGACACCAGAGAACCAAACTGGTGAGGAAAGCTCCTGAATCCCAGGAGTGGCAAGGCCTGACCCTGCAAACATGTTTTTAAAGGAATCATCAGCAGCTACGCTGCCAGGGACGGAGACAACACAGAATTCCCAAAAAGGGAAGGCAGAGACGTTTATTCCGGCAATGCCACTGCACCTCACCTGAGCACAAAGCGTTGGTGAAAGACACCCACCCCCTCAAGTGTATGGACACACCCACTAACCAGGAATCCCGGGAAAACCCTTGGATGGAGCAAACAATGCCTCTGCTGCAGATGAGGAGGGGCAGAGGGAAGCAGGGCTAGGGGAGAAAGAGGATTTAGGGAATGCTGCCTCAGGCTGCTGCAGGGGCAGGGGGAGAGGGCAGCAGGACAGGCTGTGTCCCCTAAGGCCAAGACCCCTTGGATCCTGCACTAGGATCCCACCCTCCTGCAGCAGCTGGAGGCAGGAGGGATCAGGAGTGATCCATCCCCCCAGGAAGCAGCTCTGGGATCAGGGATCAGAGTCACTCGTGCCAGCAGAGGGAAAGCTTGGCTCGAGCACCAAAGGGGCACACAGCGAAAGGCCACGTCCTCATCCTCCTGCTCTGCCCACCCACCCCTCCATGGATTCAGTACAGTCAGTGCTCCGAGTGCTGCCGGCCTCAGGAGCAGCAGGAATCACTCTCTCCTCTATGTCAGGATGTCGTGGGCTTGGTGCTCCACCAGCATCTCCATGCTCCGCACGTCCGTGCACCAGAACTCCAGGCGATCCTTCATCCCCTTGATCTGCAAGGCAAGGCCACAGGGAGAGTGCCTCAGCTCCTGGGAATGCCCACAGGCTCCTTCACACACCTGAGAGCTCAAACCATCTCTCAGAGCCCCATACACTGAGACAGGGAGATGCCCCATCCTGGGAAGTGTTTCAGGCCAGGCTGGATGGGGCTTGAACAACCTGCTCTAGTGGAAGGTGTCCCTCCCAACCCAAACCATCCTGGGATTCTGGGATTAACAGCTTCTACCAGCTGGGCTAAACTGAAATGCACCAGAGGAATTGTCTGCAGCTGGAATTCCAGGCACTGATTTTTGGGTTTGAAGGTAAAGACACCCTGCACAGTCTCCTTAAGTGTTATAAGGATGAACTCGAGAAGCTCAACAGCTCCATTATATCCTGGCCTTCTCTCTTCCCAAAAGGAATGTGCCTCCTACATCCCTGAAACTCCCAGAGGTTGTTTCATGCATTTAGGAATGAGGCCTGGATCCTTCTGGAAAACAAAACCATGGCTTCTGTGGTCCATGGTGTTTGTGTGGCTTTCACAAGGGACTGATGTGCCAGCCCTGTCCTGTCCCACCTCCTGGAAGGTTTCTGGGTGAAACACCGGGGGCAAAGCCAAACCCCCAGGGAAGCTCATTCCCAAGCCATGACTCATCCTGGCTGTGGTGTCACTCCCAGGTCAACTCTCCCTGGCCCAGCTGGAGCTGGTGGCCATTACCTGCTGCAGGTCCAGCACCCGTGGCTGCACCCACGTCATGTGCACCCTCTTGTCCACCTCGTCGATGCTGCCCTTCACCAGCCCCACCGAGAGCGCCTTCATCACCAGCAGCTCCACCTGGGGACACAGATAACCCTGGGAAATGACCCAGACCACCCCGCTTTCCCCCTGAGATGAATAAAACTTGGCATCTTCACATGAGATCCCCTCAGAACCCAGGGCAGCAGCTCTCCCAGCTGTCCCCTTTCAGGTAACAGAACTGCCTTGGGAGTCAGCACCTTGGCAAAGAGGAGTTCTTCTCCCTAAAACTTTCCCCTAAAGCTGGATTTTAGGGTTTTTTTAGTTCTTTTTCCCCTAAAAGAACTAGAATTATTTTCTTTTCTCTGAAATCCAAGGAAGAACAAGGCAACTGGAAAAAGCCAAAAGAGCCCAACTGTCCCCAAGCAGCAGGTGGAAGTTGGTCTCTTCTTCCAGGGACCAAGTGACAGGACAAGAAGAAACAGCCTCAAGCTGCACTAGGGGAGGTTCAGGTTGAAAATCAGGAATCATTTCTTTATGGGAAGGGCTGTCAGGCTTTGGAAGGGGCTGCCCAGGTAGGTGCTGAAGTCCCCATCCCTAGAGGTGCCCAAGGAATGACTGGATGTGGCACTCAGTGCTCTGGGCACAGGCTGGACTCGATGATCTCAGAGCTTTTTTTCAGCCTAAATGATTCTGGGATTCTGTATGGTTCAGGTCTATCCAGGCACTCTCAGAGCTCCCGAACCTGGACATTACCAAGGGTGTCTAACCCCAAACTCACCTCATTGACAGTGACTTTGGCACTCTTGGCAATCTCCTCGAAGGTGAGCTGGCGGTGGTTGGCTGGGCGGGTGAAAGTCATCTGGATCCAGGGAACAAACCAAAAAAAAAAAAAAACAAAAAAACCCCACAGGGTTTTAGGGATTCCCACAGCTCACAGAGCCTGCCCCAAGCTGCTCTGCCCAGTCTCACTCTGCACTGGCAACTGCATTTCTCATGTTTAATCAAAGTAATTCAACCAAGAATGTTTTACACTAGTATGGTGAAAGCAGAGTCTTCCAGTGACAGGAAGGGACTGTTTCAGATTATCCATCAGGGAAAGGACCCTCAGTCCTTGGGAAACAAAGGTGCTGAACTCTGTTCTAAAAGCCTTTTTTCATCCTGGAACATACTGCAGACACCATCCCTGAAGGATTGCTCTCCCCCTCCTCCACATCACAGAATTAACATCTTCCACTATCCCAGGTTGCTCCAAGCCCTGTCCAACCTGGCTTTGGACACTTCCAGGGATGGGGCAGCCACAGCTTCTCTGGGCAGCCTGTGCCAAGGCCTGACCACCCCCACAGGGAAGATATTCTTCCCAATATCCCACCCAACCTTCTGTCAGAAAAGCCATTCCCCCTTGTCCTGCACTCCATGCAAGAGCCCCCCTGGACCTAGGGACAAGCAGCCCAGCATGAGGTGTTTTCCCTCACGACACCTGCCTGCGCCTCCATCTACAGGTCAAATCCACACTGAAATTCCTGTATCCAGGAGATACTGCAGGTGAGTGACCAGACACACTGAGCACATCCCAACTCACCTCCATGAGACACAACAGCTGGATCTTCTGCAGCAGGAGTGCTTCGTTTGCAGCTAGGTCGGGCTGTGAGGAGAGAAAAGGCACCAAATCAGGTCAGGATTACGTTTTCTCCCCATCCTGGGGCAGAACAGCTTTACATAGAGGAATAAATCCCTGGGAGGGTTTATTTAAGAGGAAGAAGGCTACCACAGCCCACCCACCAGCCAGGAATGGTCCCAAAAAACAATCCAAGTGCCAGTGAACTCACAAATCCATTGCTATGCCAGTGATTCCTGGTGTAGCCAGTGCAGGTAACATCCAACATCACTCTTTCCCCCCACACTTCCCAGAACAGGAAGAAAAACCACTGTTTTCCACTGGAAGCACTCCAAAGGGAAGCCAAAAGAAAACTAATTACGTGTATCAAGATGGAATAACCACTCCTAGGCTCTGATCAGAATGGTACCAGTGCTCCAGAGCCAGGACTGAGGCAGAGTTGATTAAGAAAAAGTCCACAGACTCCAAGTGTCAGGTGGAAATCCCAAGCCTGGGCCTTCAGCAGTCCCAGAGCCCTCACCTGCTGCCCCCAGGCTGACTTGAGGGCCTGGAAGGTCTCCACGTTGCCGCTGTTGAAGGCGAAGAGGGTGTCAATGAGCCACTGCCGGTCCGTGCTGCGCAGGGACTCCAGCACGGGGTGCATCAGCTGCAGGGGACAGGCAGGAGGGTGTCAGCAGGGGAAAACCAGCTCCTGGGGCTCCAGGGATGAAGGGGTGTGGCAGCACTCACCAGCTCCCCAAAGTTGTAGACGCCTTCTCCCAGCAGCCCGG